TGTCAGTCGTAACTGCCTCAGTGCCCCTCTAGTTTCATCTCCCCGTGCTGCCGAGTGTGGATTTTCTCCCGTTCACACCTGAGATTACATTTTGGTGATGTAGGGTTTGATCGAGCATTGAAAGGACATTGCTAAAACCCTGTACTGGCCAGTTCTTTATGTTTATAAGCCTCCAACAAACAGTAAGCATATACAACTACATTTTCAAAAATAATTTTGTGCTAAAACTAGATGTTCTGCGGTCCAAGAGTGCTGCGGCAAGGCCTGTTTGCTCTAGAGGCTTCGCAATGTGAGTCTGCTGCCTCCAGCGAGCTTGCTTCGCGGCCCGCACCTCGCACTGCGGCAATGCGGGCCCGCATCCTCTCATCATCCCGGACTGCCGCAGTCCCGACCGCCCTCGCTCTCCATTCACCACATTGTCATTCAGGGCGCGCGGGGCACGCCAAGGCCCTCCCTTCCAGCCCAACTTCGCTGAGAACAAACGTAGCACAGGCAGTCCAAAGGAAAGGGCCTCAGGTGTTCATGACGACGATGCCCTAGGCTATTCCTGGGCGCTGACCCGTTCACCCGAATGTGCTCCATATACTACCTCTTTGTGCCGCCCGCAGTGACGGCGCTGGTGCAGCTGCAGAAGGCGTGGGGCGCGTGGGCGGGCAACAGCAACGCCACCACGGCCTGCTCTGCGTGGGCTGGCGTCACCTGCAGCCCTCAAGGGCTCGTCGCTGCCCTGTGGGTCTCCCTGCCGCTCATTTTACCTCCTCGCCCTCTCAGCCTGTTGCCCCTCGTCGCATCCCTCTGCCTGTTGCGCCTCGGCTACGATGCTGGCAAAAACGCGATTAGTACTATACGCCAGCGAATAATGCGTTGGCGTATATACGCCATGCGCTGCGGGTCCATTATGAAAGCAAGTCATTTTAGGCTGGACCGGGCAGGGAAATTTACGGGCAGTCGTAAAGGAGCGAGGGGAGGTCAACGTGATGTCCTCAAGCTATCAAAGCGATATATATATGCTCAGCTATCCAAATGGGATTAAGATTCAGCCACTAGACGAAATCACGAGGAGTCAGTCGGGAAAATGGGAGTTCTCTACTCCAGGACCAGAAATGCTTGACTTGACGACTATGAACCTGCAGTTGAGGCAATTCGTAAAACGGGGAAGGTTGAGACCCAACCATTGGGTTACGGAGGTCGGGGGGGGGTGGTGTGTGGTTGGGGGATGGGGGAAAGAGATGGAGGTCGAGATTTGATAGAGTATTCGCAAGGTTCGATGCCATGGAAACAACCAGCGACTCTTAACCCCATTTTCTTTTCCCTCCTCTCCTCTTTCCGAAAGCTGCCTGAACGTATTCGCTGATTTCGTAAACACGCCATGCCAGCCACCACCCCCCACCCCTCCCCCCCCTCTTCCCTCCCAGACCGTATCTGCCTACATACCTGCTGTGTTTAATCACCCCTAATCCACCGTCCCTCACTGTCCCCCATTACCGATCTGCACTCTCGTTTCCCGCACGGCACTCATGGTTGTGCGTCACGTTGACCGTACCGTACCGCTTCTGAATGAGCTGCATGCGTGTGTTGGTTGGCTGGCAGGGATGCTAAGCTGATCCCCGAAGCGGATCCTCCCCACAGCGGCGCCATACCCGCCGCCATCACCACCCTCGCCGATCTGCAATACCTGTCCGTCACCGCTCACGTTCCCACGCTCGCTCTCCCTGCACCACCCACGCTCTCCCTGCACCACCCACGCTCTCTCGCTCCACCACATCCATCCATCAAGCCCCCCCTCTGTTTGCCAAGTGCGACACAGCGTGTGCTTCACGCCTGTCCCACCGGTGCATGCTGTGTCGTTCCATCCCATCTCATTCCTCTCCTTCCACACTTTCCAGAACCCATCCCCTTCCTCTGCCTGTCCATGCCTCGCTTCTCAAATGGTTTCATTTCACAAAAAACCGTGACCTTTTCTAGGCCATACGTCTCAAGAGGTCCATTCCTCCATGCCATTGCCTTTACCACTGCTCCTTCCTGCCCTCTTATTCCCACAGCGATCTGTCTTACCTTGATCTGGTGGGGTCTCTTCCATCTCTCGCCCCTCTCACCGCCCTCACCCACTTGTACGTGCCGTTCTCCCGTGCTTTCATATCTCACCTGCTTGTGTGCTGGACAACGCCCATCTACAATGCCCATCCACCATGCCCATCCACCATGCCCATCCACCATGCCCATCCACCATGCCCATCCACAATGCCCATCCACAGTGCCCATCCACCATGCCCATCCACCATGCCCATCCACCATGCCCATCCACCATGCCCATCCACCATGCCCATCCACAATGCCCATCCACAATGCCCATCCACCATGCCCATCCACCATGCCCATCCACCATGCCCATCCACCATGCCCATCCACCATGCCCAATTCACCACCTTCATTTGCACACCCCGAATCTTGCTCTCCCACCCAAGCATGAACCTTGTTCCCATCCGTGCTCCAAAACGTCAAGTCATTTCTGCCTTTCCCTGTCCAATTCCTCGTACCACCAATACTTACTATCTGTCCCTACATGTTCTCTGATTCAAGAATAAGAATTCAATAATAACGATTCAAGAGTAACAATTCCTGCTGCCCCTGCATCCGGTACCTCTGGCGTGTGTGCTCTCCTCCTCCGCATTGCCCTATGAATGCGCGGCATGGCATGTGCCCTTCCCTTCCCTGCATGCCACGTGCGTGAGTGAGCACAGGGCCATTGGAGGCGACGGCAGCAGGCTGAATGGCACCTTGGACGAATTGGATTGGCTTTCCTCCCTCACCGCCCTGCGAACACTGTATGCCCGCCCTGCCACCCATGTATGCCCTGCCACCCATGTATGCCCTGCCACCCATGTATGCCCTGCCACCCATGTATGCCCTGCCACCCATGCATGCCCTGCCACCCATATATGCGGTGCCACCCATGTATGCCCTGCCACCCATGTATGCCCTGCCACCCATGCTTGCCCAGGAAGGCATGTCACCCATGTCAGCCAGGCCATTCGTGGAAGACATGCTGTTGGGCACTTCACGCCACATAGCGCCCACAACTCGTGCTACAATGCGCGAACTCGTGCACATGCCCAGCCCATGCGTGTCATGCCACACTGCCCTCCTGCCACCAGGAGCCTAATTGGCTTGGCGGAATTCACAGGGGACTTGTCCTCCCTGCACATTCTTTCTTACTTGCAAAGCCTTCAAGATCTGTAAGCATCAGTGCAATGCACAGAAATATTGTGGTCGCGTTATGCTGCTATGCTGCTATCTTATCTCTCATGACAAACCATCCTTCAGTTGTGTTGTGCCATGTAGTATGGTTGCTAAGCCAGCCTTAAAGTTGCGTCAGTGGTGCAATTAGTCTTGCTGATTGCCTGTGCATGCTGTGCATGAACGCAGGAAACTCATTTCCTTCACCAACGCAACAGGGGAGATACCCAGAGACATCACATACTTGACTGCCCTCACTGCACTGTAAGCCGCACCGCACACAAGTGCCCAGCATGGAACACATGAAGCAACCCTGTTCATGTGCAATGTGAAGCTTCGTAACTTCTGGCCTGGAAGAGCTGCAGTGCTAGAGAAAGCTTCTAGCAAGTAAAGAAAGAGAGTTTAAAAAATCCCTTGCTACGAGAATTCTGAAAGCAAAAAGCTGCATTCACTCAAAGGGAACAGGTCGCAAACATGTTTCGGCAAGGTGGGGGAATCCCGTTCATGCCTTCATCAGTGCTTCTGAACACAACGAGATCCACAGCCTGGTATGAGCTAAGTACTAACCCACACCGCGAACTGAAATCAAAGTTCCCAACGACCCAGATTGCCTAACAATGGGCATTCGCCAACATAGCACTGGGTAAAACCCGAGGTTACAAGTGTCAGCATTCCGTGGTGTCTTCGTCAGGGCTATTGATAAGCCTTGGAACCTTCGCTCACACGAGTAACTTTTGCAAGTTACGTGCACACCTCCATGCAATGTAAACAAAACATTCACCATATAAAAACCGCGTGAACTTAGACGACTTGTGAGGCGCCTCAAAAATCGTCTAAGTTCACATGAAGCAACCCTGTTCATGTGCAATGTGAAGCTTCTCCTAGCCGCTTGCCCGACATCACCCTGTTCAGACTTGACATGAGTGGAGCACGGGACACATCACCGCAGCTCTCTGGTTTTTGCCTGTACGGTGTCATCTTGCCTCCCCACCTCAGGGACCTATCCTACCTTCGTGCCTTGGAGTTTCCTGGGTGGTTGGCTCACCTCTCCCGCCTTCAGCATCTGTGAGCCTGCCCAACATTACTCTCTTTTTCTGCCGTTGCCACACATCACACCCCCCATGACATGAGGTATAAGGTAACTGCACCGCACGTACCATTGCCATGGTTGGTTCTTGTCGCAGTGGAGAGACTCTCAACAACTCTCCTTGCGTGCAGGACGGTGAATAACTCTTGAACGTCTCAAAGGGACTCTCCTTCCCTTGTGCCGTGTCGTGCATGCAGGGCAGTGAATAATGACGAGCCACGCCGCCACGGACTGCTCAACGACGGCATGTCTGGGCTCACAGCACTCACCACCCTGTGAGCTCAGCGCCCTTGTTTAGATTGCACCGAGTGAGCATGCAGGCTCTCGGAGTCTATTCAATGCATGATGAGAATAAGTTACTCTAGCGTAGGCATGAGACCAGCAGGTCAGGTCAGGTTGGGTTGGGTGGGGTAGACTTGAGACCAGACTGACTTGGGGTTTTGGCCTCAACGGCCGCTCCTCTAACAGTCCCGACCTGACCAGGCCGACCAGGCCGACATTTTTCAGTCACCTTTTTTGTCGCAGTAAGCCCTGCCCCCCTCACCATCTCAATGTTATCCTTGCTGCATTGCTGTCTCCGCTCGGGCAAGGAAAAAATCACAACTCGGTTTCTCTTTTGACCTCCACCATTCAGAAACACAGGTGTTCACGTGCTGCATGCTCCCATGCTGTGCAGATCCCTCATTGGAAACAACTTGGAAGGTTCTTTGCCTGAGAGCTGGTCCTCGCTGGTCAATCTGGCGGAGCTGTGAGTCCATGAGCATCCTTCCACATTGAGTCGGATAGCTTGCTCTGCCATCCATCCTGCCATCCATCCTGCCATCCATCTTGCCATCCATCCTTCCATGCTTCCAGGCACCGTTCTGTCCATGATGACACTCTCTAGCCTCCTTTCCTTACCATTCTTCCTTCCCTGCCAGCCATGCTGTGCTGCTGCCACAAGCATGAACGCCATTGCTTGCGGCAGCGCCTTTCTTGTCACACCCAACAGCACTTGCCATGCTTGTGTCCCTAAATTCGCATGCTTGCCATGTTTCTTTCTTCCCCCTTGTTTCCCTTCAGCAATTTAGGTCTAAACCACATCCAAGGATCAATTCCGGCAACGTTTTCAGCCCTAACAGCCCTAACATCCCTCACTTCATTGTAAGGTTCCTTCCTTGTGGTGGACCAGCAGCGGCACCAGCAGCAGGACCAGCAGCATCACCAGCAGCAGGACCAGCAGCGGCACCAGCAGCAGGACCAGCAGCGGCACCAGCAGCAGGACCAGCAGCGGCACCAGCAGCGGCACCAGCAGCGGCATCAGCAGCGGCACCAGCGGCGGGACCAGCAGCGGCACCAGCAGCGGCACTAGCAATGGCACCAGCAGCGGCACGTGCAGCGGCACCAGCGGTACCAGCAGTCATCTGCTCCTTCCACACCTCCCTCTCTGAGGACTCCCATGAGGAGTTCCTTGACCTCCACCTCTGTGACCCTTCCCTTCTACCCATCACCTTCGACCTTTCTGGAACACCAATACCTCTTCGCATTCTCCTCTGCTCCCTCCGTTTTCATCCCTACCACGTATGAGGAGGCCATGGCTTGCCCCGACGCCCCACTCTGGCTCGCCGCCATTATCAAGGAGCTGGAGGCCTTTGTCGCCAACTCCTCCTTTGTTGATGTGCCTCGCCCTCCCTCGTCTACAAACGTGGTGAAGGGGAAGTGGGTGTTTCGCTTCAAACAGCTGCCACGAGAGCCGCCCGTCTACAAGGCTCGTTACTGCGCCAAGGGTTTCACGCAGCGGTATGCTGTTGACTTCTTCGACACCTTCTCCCCCACCGCCAAGCCTGCCACGGTTCGCGCCGTACTTGACCTCGCCGCTCGCTTCAACATGGAGATCCGCTCAATGGATGTTTCCAACGCCTTCCTGCAAGGCGTGCTACGTGAACTGATCTATATGGAGCGTCCGGCCGACTTTCACCTTCCCTTCCCAGCAGACTCTGTGTGGCAGCTGCGTTGACCTGTATATGGGCTCCGACAGGCCCCAAGGGAGTGGCATGCCAAGCTTGCTGCCACCCTTGCTGAGCTTGGCTTTCGCACCTCCCGCTCTGACGCCAGCCTCTTCCTCCGCGCCTCCCCCTCCCCCTTCTACATCCTTGTGTATGTCGATGACATGATTCTGCTCACCGCTAACCTTGCTGAGTTGGAGCGTGTTAAATCTGTATTGGGTAGTCGTCTCAAGTGCAAGGACTTGGGAGAGCTGCAGCATTACCTAGGCATGACCATCACTCGCGACCGCTCCGCCCGCACCATCTCTCTCTCCCAGGGTCATTACTTGCAGCAGGTCTTGGAGCGGTTTGACATGGCTCGGGGCGGTGCCCAACCTACTCCTCTTTCTGTCGGGCACCACCTCTCTCCACCCACCTCCCCCTCAACCTCCTCCCATCCTTATCCTGAACTCATCGGCTCCCTCATGTACGCCATGGTCTCCACTCGCCCTGACCTTGCCTACCCCATCAGCGTCCTCGCTCGTTTTGTTGGCGCAGGCAAGCATACGGAAGAGCACTGGCAGGCCGCCAAGCGTGTCCTCCGGTACCTTCGTGGCACCAAGGACTATGTCCTTACCCTTGGCGGCCCCTCCCCACCTCTCCTCAGCGGCTATAGTGACTCCTCCTAGGCTGATTCCCGGCCGGATCGTCGCTCCTCCCAGGGCTATGGCTTCTCTCTTGGCAGCGGCCTTATCAGCTGGCGCTCCACCCGCTCCTCGGCTGTCGCCCTCTCCTCCTGCGAGGCGGAATTGTATGCCGCCACCATAGCTGCGCAAGAGGTCCACTGGCTCACCTTCCTTCTTGAAGAACTTGGTGCCCCCCAGCGCTGTCCCACCATTTGGTGTGACAATGCTAGCACCATTCACCTCACTAAAGATGCTGTGTTTCACGGGCGCTCCAAGCACATTGAGCTCCGTCATTTCTTCATTCGCGATCTTGTTCAAGCGGGGCACCTTCGGCTTGACAAGGGTAACTTGGTGGCCAGTCTTGTCGACATCTTCACAAAAGCTCTTCCTCATGTCGCTCACTCTTTCCTACTTCGTCTTCTTGGCCTCACTCCTCCTAAGTCGCCTCCCGCCTCTTGATTCTAGCCTTCTAGCCTTATGCATGTTGGGGGGTTGTGTTGGAATTTCATATTTCATATTACATTCATAGGCTAGAATTAGATCTGTAGCACATTTATAAATTGGGGGGTTGTTTAGTGTACCCTCCAACCACATTTTGTGGTTGGTTGGGATTGGTCCTTAGCTCAACCAATCCCAACCAACACACATTTTGTGGTTGCTTGGGCCACAAGCAAGCTCACCCATTGGCCAACTTATTGGCCAATAGGGTAAGCTTCCCTCTCATCTCTCTCTTGCTCATTGTTTGTACTAAAGGGCCTCTTGGCTCATTATTCAATGTATCAATTCTAGCTTTTCAACACCCATTGTCTCAACCCCTCTCTGCCTGTCTATATCCCTTGGGTCCTTTCCTCTCAAAGTACACAATCCGGTGGTGTGCATGAGGCATGCATGATACGAGCCTGGCTGTGCCAGGGCCAGTCACCCTTGGGCAGGCTCGCACCGGCCTTCTTGGCTGGGGGCGGGGCCAGTGCCAACGTGACAAAACATTTCAACGCCGAAACCAATAGCCGTATGAAAGCCTTTGAGGCGCGTCAGAAGAATCGCCAGCGTGACAATACATCTCCACTCTTGGGGAATCATTTTAATGCTGAAAGCAACAGGTTATGGAAAGCACAAATCACCTTCTGGGCCTATTTTGGGAAATCACAAAGATCTTTGTACCGGTCCAGCCATTGGAGCTTGGGCTTTGGCGTGCGGCTCGGCTCGAACCACACACAGTGTATTGTCACCAAGCAGGCATGCCTGGCACCAGGCAGGCCGGCCCTCAGTGTGGTTCAGCCCCTGCTCATGTCTTTTTGCCCCCCTCAACTTTTGAGGTGCCTCAAAGGTCGTCCGCAATTTCTAGTCCGGCACCCGGCAGGCCAGCCCTCAGTGCAGCCTCTGCTCATGTCTATTCACCCCCCTTCCACTGCAGAGACCTGTCGTGGAATGATCTTTCTGGTCCTATACCCCCGATTTTCACCAGCAACATCCAGTCCATGTATGTCACTCTTCTCTTGGCCTCCTGCCCTGTCTTCCTAATCCAAGCCCCAGTACCACCCTCGTCTTTCTCTGAATAGTCACTCTTTTCCTTTCGTGCACCCCTGCTGGCCCATTCTTCTTGGCTGTATTATCTTCCTCCTGTCGTTCGCCTTCATGCTTCGTAGTCTGCTCATTCAGTACGTCCTCGCTTCTTTATTGACACCACTAATGAGAATTCTCAAAAGTGATATCAATAGAGAATACTCACCAGCGGTGTCAACATAGCTCATTCAGCGCGCCATGTCCATTAACATCCATAGGATGCGTGTCTCTTTGCCTCTTGCCTTGCCCTTCCTGACCTAGCCACAGCACCCGACCCATCTCACTCGACAAACCTATACCAACACACCTCCTTCCCCCCCTTCACCTCTCCCTATTTCGCCCTCTATTGAGCTCAAGACGTGTTTTGCTTTCACAATTCCCTCCATGCCATCCGTGCCATTCCCATTGCTCCTCCATCCCTTCTTTCTTGTCCCAATCTCATGCCGCTGCCAATCCATCTTCATCTTGCCTTCCTCCTCACATACTTTCCTTTCTCTGTTTGTTCGAACCCCTCTGTCCATTCCCTTGCTTCATTTGCGTAATTTGCCTCATTTGCTTCATTTGCCTCATTTGCCTCATTTACTTCATTTGCCTTATTTGCCTCATTTGCTTCATTTGCTTCATGTCTTTCGTTTACTTCATTTGCATCATTTGCTTCATTTGCCTTATTTTCTTCATTTGCTCCATTTGCCTCATGTGCTCATTTGCCTCATTCGTCTTCTCTCTACAATGATGGCACTTGCGAGCCGTGGTCGTAGAAAGAGGACGAGTGAAGCAAAGGAGCCAAGAGAATAGGCAGAGGGTTGCCCTTTGGCCCAATCAATGACTTCAGTAAACTCGTCTTTCACATGTCCGGCGTGCCTATCCAGATCGCTGGACTACAATGCCTTTAGTGGACCCATCCCGGCACACCTCGCCATGCCCAACCTCCTTGACCTGTGAGTGAAGCCCACCAGTTGTTTTTTCGGTTCTATGCACACTCGCGTTAAACCTCCAATCATATTCGGCATTTTGCCTGAGAGGTGCCGCGTTGAAGCGGAGCTTCGCAGCCAGCTCCGCGCACTGCCGTAGGTAAGCCAGCACCCCCGGCGACGGGTAGCCGTAGGTCTCCACGGCCAAGGCGTGGAACCCCACCCACGCGTTCCGCCCCGCATAATTCTCCTCCTTCCGTGCAGCTGCCGCCCTAGCCGCCCAACCAGGTGCGCGGTTGCAGTTCTCGTCCTGGTAGGACACCGGGTCAGTCACGGTCACATCACAAAGCCAAACTTCTCCGGTCAGGGGATGGCGGATGGAGACATCCGCTTTAAGGTTTTCAACCAGAGAGTAGGCATAGGTCTCCTTGTGCACCGTGAAGACTGCTTCTGCCCCTATCCTTGCAATTTCATCCCTGAGAGCATGGTGTGTGGCAGTCCTCCCTTTCCCCTTCTCGCAGCGCATAAGGTGGTTTGGGAGGCGGTCATCAGGGAAGGTGGTGCGGTATCGGCAGTCGCACCGCCTCGGGACAGGGAGGGGGAGGCCAAGGCGGAAGGCGGATGCAGTAGAGTGTTGGGAGGGGCCCAGTCTTAGCGCAGAGGAGAGAGGGATTGCCAGCAGCCAGTCCCCTGCTCCCGGGCCCAGCAGGGACTGCATCCGTTGGGCGTGCCCTGAGAGGGGATTTGGGCGCATCCGCCGCGCCGTGTTCAGCACTCGGAGGTAGAGGCGGGTGTGGACTGCCAGGGCCAGGGCCTGCTGGAGCTCCAGTCCCTTGGGGTCACTTTTACCAGCCCGAAGGGCCTCTAGGCCGTCTGGGGGCAGGGCCGCTTCAGCCGCAGCTAGGCGCGAGGGCAGGGCCGCGGCGGAGTCAGGGACGGAGTCCATAAGGGGGAGCAGTGCGGCTATGGCGGGGTGTAGGGAATCGGCTAGCGAGTGCAGGAGGTGGGCCGCGCCGATCACCGACGCGAGGTACGCGTAACTCCCTTCCACGGCCGGGTCGGTAATTCCCAAACCCCCCAAGGTAACGGGAAGCGCGGCCTGCCGCCAGATACGTCTCCTTTCCGCGTTGCTCCTTGGCGCGACAATGTGGGCGGCGTTTAGAAACGCGTGGAGGAGCCGCTCCCCCCAAGCCGACCATTCTGCTGTGGGCAGGACCTCCCGCGGGGTTGTCCTTGCCAGGAAGGAGGCGCGGCGGCTGACGCAGCGTGTGAGGAGGAGGAGGCAGAGCTGCGGGTCCATTTGCGCTAATAGCAGGAGTGGTTCAGCTGCTGCCGAGAGTCTCTGCCTGACTGCCGCGGCGCAGCCTTGTGCTGTGCCGACGGGGCTGCCGAGGACTTGCAGCCCTTCGCTCGAGATGGTGATGCCGGGGGGGACGGAGGCAGGGTCGATTGGGGCGGCGGACCAAGCCGCGCACTTAGCGGGGTTGTGGAGGAGTCCCATGGAGGCGAGCGTGGCTGTGAGGTGGTCAAATGCCGCGGCGCAGGCAGACGCATCACCAAGCAGCGTGATGTCGTCGGCATAGGCAAGTAGGACCACCTGTGGGTGAGCCGCTGCCGTCGCAACGAGGCAGGGGTGGATGAGGCTCTCGAGCGCTTCGTTCCTCAACCCATCGAACACCGCTCTCTTCTCGACCGCGTTGAACGCGTTCGCGAGGTCGATCTGCAGCGCTACTGCCGCGGGATGGGCCTCCAGGTAAGTACGTGCCGTGTGTATAGCGGCCTCAATGCTCCCCGCTACCGCCACACCGAACTGAAGGGGGACGAAGTGAGATCTAGCGGCTGGCGCGATCAGGAAAAGAGCAGCTTTGGCGATGATCCGTAGTAGGCATTCCCCGACCGCGATCGGCCTCGTCCCACCGTGCGGTTTCGTGAAGGCCAAAAGGCGAGAGGCGGTAAGTAGCTCTCCCGCAACGGCCGGTAGCCTCCCCGCTAGAGCTGTGTTGGTGAGGGCAACGAGGTGGGTGAAGACTTCGGCGTTTCCCAGGGCTGCATCACGGAGATGTTCGAAGGTAGTTCCTGAGGGGCCCGCCCCCACTCCATTGGGGAGCTTGGCGATGATCCTTCTGAAGTCGCGGGCTTCGATAGCGGGAGGGTTTTCCGCTGTGGCAGCGTGCAGCCAATCAGGTAGCGGTTGGGATGCAGGTGGGTGTCTCGTCGTGAGGGCCTCGAGGACTTCAGGTGAGGCAGGCGACACGGGCGTGGCTTGCAGGGATTGCAACGATTTTGAGAGGTTACCACGCTTCGCCAGGCCCTCCGCTCTGGCGAGAGTCCCAGTTGTGTCAGGTGCGTGGCGAGGCTGCGGGGGGAGGGAGATCGCTTCGGCAGCTTCTTCGTAGAGGCTGGCCCAGAGCCCTTGGCGAAAGCGCAGGAGCCTGTTCATCATTGCGCTCCAGTCAGGCTTACGGGCTGACGAGGAGCGAAGAAGTAAGCGCGGGAGGAAGGTGAGTAACATCCAGCCTGGTTCTGACTCGGGGTTGGCTGCCAGGTGGAGTAGCGGTGTCAGCAGACAAATCGCGACAGACTCGCGAAGGTCTTTTGGAGGGTGGCGGGCGAGTGGGGGTTGGCGACTGTCGCGCAGCGGGCCAATGTCTCAGCCAGCAACCTGGGCGAACAGGTCAGTATTTTTCGCCAGGTCGTCAGGTTTGAGCATTGGGGGGGTCGAAATTGGGGCTGCTGAATTCTCATTGGCTGTCGCAGATTCAACTCCGGTCTCTGTCGCGGCTCGATTTCCCCTCCTTGCTCGAGTTCCCCCCGCGGCTCGGTTCTGGGCTGTGGTGCGGTTGGCAGGTTCGCCTCGGACAATTGGTCTGTGGAGCTCCCCATCCCGAAGCAGAAGTTCCAACTCCTCCTCGTCCTCCTCGGCTTCCGCTCCCAACATCCCCTCTCTTTCTGGGTTAAAAGCAGGGTCACCCTCGTCATTTTCCTCATTCTCCACTTCCTCTTTTGCCTCCTCGCTAAGCGGTTCCTCACCGCCCTCCGCGTCGTTTCGCATCAGCCTTTCCACATTTCTCGCATAGCCGCTTGCACCAGTGCGGCGCCTGTTTGAACCCCGTGTTCCACCACCTCTTCGTCCTCTCTCGATTCCCCGTCCTGTGTGTTAAACCTTGCTGGAGTATTTGTGGGCCCCTGCACGCGTTGCGTCGAACCGCCCAGACGGACAGCCGCGGCAGGAGCGCGGGCGCTCGCCTCCGCGTCAGGCTCCGAGGCAGCCCTCTCCTCGCCTACCTTCTCCTGAGTGTCGCGAAACTCATCAGCACAGGGAGGGCGATCAGCGGTCCCCTGCGCGTCCTCGTTCTCCTCGCCGCCCATCTCCTCGTGGTCGGGCAGGCCAGCGCTCACCCCGAGCGCGATCCTCCGCGCAACGCTCTCCGCGGCGATCTCCGGCGACGCGGGGGAGGGGGTCGCCTGGGCGTCGGTGGGACACGGGTCGTCGCGAGCAGTCCCCTTCGCGTCCGCATTCGGCTGGTTCTGGGGGCCGGCGAGGCCGTCGGAACGGCGGTGGGCGTGGCGGAAACGCTCGCGGGCAGGATCCTGCCCTGGATCGAGCCACGAGTGCGTTTGCGGAGGTTGTGCGTCAGGCGCGGGCGAGGGGAGAGCCGACTCACGTACACATCGAGGTGACCAACGACCCTCCCATCGCCGCGGACCCTGGCCAAGTGGCTCCTCTGCGCGCGCCGACGTTGCGCGAATATCAGCCCGCGCGGGAAGGGCGGCCTCAGTTCCGCACCCCTCGTCAAGTCCCGGGCTTCTCCGCGCAGCGCCTCTCTGGTGGCTGGATTCCTGGCTGGCCGACGGCGTTTCCTCGCGAAGCGCCGACTGCACATCCCCCCAGTCACGCGGGTAGAGATCCCATGTTGACCATGTGCAGGACTCTGAATGTGGCGGAGGCGTGCGAGGTGGTGGCGAACTTGCAGCTGGCGGTGTGTGCGGCCACGCGGAGCTTTCCGAGCAGTTACGGTCCAGGGTCCCGAGGATCCTGCGTGACTTTGGCAGAATCGCTCGAGTCGTCGTTGGCACCCGTGTCGGAAGCGCCCGCCGGGGTAGCGCCCTTAGCGCGTACCTTCCCCCGCCACGTGGGGGATCTTGTAGAGGCTGCTCGGGTTGGTACCCCCGTGGGCACACTTCAGTCGTCGGCGCATCTTCTACTTGCAATGTCGGCGTGCATGCGCTCGATGCTGGAGATGGAGGGGGCGGAGCCGTAAACGACGTAAGCTTCCGCCGCGTGTAGAATTGCATCCCTGTAGCACTTGGTGTCGCCGTTCTACTGTGCGTGTTTCCAAATGTGTGTTCTCCTTGTAAGCCGATCCTTAGTTTGCTGCCTTGCCACCAGGAGCGCGCGGCCGAAGGGGCCCTTAAATAGGCACGGAGGGCAGAGGGCAGAGGGAGAAGGCAGAGGGCAGAGGGCTAAGGTTGCTCTCTCTCTCTCTCTGTCTCTCGCTCTCGAGCCGCTGGGAAAGAGAACCCACACGAAATAATGAGCAAAGAGAGCCAGAAGGGGCCCTTAAATAGGCACGGAGGGCAGAGGGCAGAGGGAGAAGGCAGAGGGCAGAGGGCTAAGGTTGCTCTCTCTCTCTCTCTCGCTCTCGAGCCGCTGGGAAAGAGAACCCACACGAAATAATGAGCAAAGAGAGCCAGAAGGGGCCCTTAAATAGGCACGGAGGGCAGAGGGCAGAGGGAGAAGGCAGAGGGCAGAGGGCTGAGGTTGCTCTCTCTCTCTCTCTCTCTCTCTCTCTCTCTCTCTCTCTCTCTCTCTCTCTCTCTCTCTCTCTCTCTCTCTAATGGCCCTTTCATTGATTGACACAGAGCATACAGGCATGCAATATGAAAGCTATCCGCACGTAGGTCTAATGCATATTCCTCTTACTACTCACACATCGACTCAGCCCCTCTCCCCCCCACCCTTAAGCTAGGTCCAGAGCAGGATCAAGGACCGAGAGGCAGTCCCCTAGGGATGGGGCCTCACCCAC